AGTGGCTAACATTTGCAAATCTCAAACTCCCAAATTTATCCCTTCCCACCCCCTTTCCGCAGGAACCATAAGATTGTTTACTATGTCTGTGAGTCTGTTTCTGTTTTATAGATGAGTTCATAGTGTCTTTTTTTTTCCTTTCCTATCATAGTTTAAAGATACTTTATGATCCAACATACTTTTTGTACTTTGTAATATAAACATTTCCCCATGCTGCTACAGAGTTTTAATTGTTTTTTTTTCTGATTTATACTCTTTTTTATTATTTTTATTTATTTTGTTTGATGGTTGGTTTGGGGGGGTTAATTAGGTTTATTTATTTAGTGATTTTTTTTTTAACAAGAGTACTAAGGATTGAACCCAGGACCTCATGCATGCTAACCATGCAGTCTACCACTGAGCTGTATCTTCCCCCCCCATTTATTTTTATTGAAATATAGTTGATTTACAGTGTTGTGTTAGTTTAGTTGGTTTCCTTTTTAGTGGTAGCATAGTATTCCTTTGCTTAGCCATTCAATAGCTGTAGAACACAAACTGTTTCTAAGTTTTCAACACAAGTATTTTGACAAGTATTTTAACAAATAATATGTGAGCAACTTTGCTCATTCAATTTCCCTTTCCTTTTGAATTATTTCTTTGGGGTGAGTTCTGAAGTACAGAATTTGCCTGTGAGGTCAGAGTATTTTTATAGTCCCCCATATCTTATTGCCAAAGAGAGCATTCACAGATTAACTCCTGATTGTATTGCAGTAACCACCATCCTGACTGACACCAACCCCATCTGGCTGGTGGGAAGAGCTGCAGAAGCTCCATTTGTGATTAATGCTGTCATCCGATACCCAGTGGAAGTCATTTCATATCCTTTCTGTTAAAGGGCCAACAGTAGCTCAGTTTCAAAAAAGAAAAGGATTCCTCAGTTGTCCCAAGGAAGAACAGATGTGGGAAGCCTCAGCTTGGAAATTGCTATATTCTTGTAGCCCCACACAAATGACTATGTCTCCCTGCAGTTCATACAGGAAAAAATATTCATTTCCTGTTCGTTTTTGGTTTTTTTTTTGAGCAATTCTAGGTCAGAATCATCCATATTTATATCTTAATAATCTTTTATTACCTCTTTTATCTTAAGGGTATTTGAAACATTTTTGCCATTTTCTGTCTAAACTAAACCTTTGGTTTAACATTTACTTAGAAAATGTCATCTGTGATTCCTTAACTGTTTGTACTTATCTACCAGGATTCTGGGAAATGATGAAGTTTGCCTGGGTCCAGTATGTCAGTATCCTACTTATCTTCCTCTGGGTGTTTGAAAGAATCAAAAGATTTGTGTTTCAAAATCAAGTGGTGACCACAGTCTCTGTACCAGCAGTGCCTTGTGGAGAACTGTATAAGGAGCATTTATCATAAGAAGACCCTTTCTGAAAACTCTAAGCAGGACCCTGGCTACCTCACTGTTGTCTTCTGAGAACTGCCGTGTTAGGAAACTTATGAAAAGCTCATGGACACTTGCCCACATGTGTGCTTTTCCTATGAGAGACAAAGAACAATCCTTTCTAATTTTCCTCTACACAAATTGCATATCTTCTAAGCTCCTGCAGAAATAATCAGGGACTAGTCTTAGGAAACATCTGAAGGTTCCCGAAGGCTATAATTTGCTTTTGTTTTTGTTTTTGTTTTTTTTGCCTCAGACTTGAATTTCAGAAAAACTACATACAGTCAGTTCAGACATCTTGGAAAGAGTCCCATCTCTGGTCAAGCAGAGACTTTTCCTCTCTTGAACTGAGAAACATGCTATGCATTTCTTCCCCCATTGTAAACCATGCTTTACTCTTTTCAGGGCTCTCTGGTGATAGATATGCAAATCATCAGCACTTTCCACTCCTGGGCATCTAAGTTTCCTATTCAGAACTGATTTCCACAACTGAGAGGCCTTTTACTAGGGAACTGGAGAGAGAGAAGGGGAGCGCTCGAGAGCACATGTGTGCACGTGCGGGAGGGCGGGCAACTTGAGGACACCAGGACCATCCGTCCACCTGCCCTGAGCCTAACAGACAGTCGTCTGTCAGCAGCTCAGCTGAACAGCCCTTTATCCCTGCCCTGCTGGGGCTGGCTCTTTGCCCTCTGTCTGTGCCCCTGGAATAGCAGGCTGCAGTCAGATGTGCTGTTTCATTCACAAGCCCCTCAGCAACAGTGGGGGAAGTAAGGAGTGTAACAACAGGTTCTTTCTCTCTGGCCCTCACCCAACAGCCTGGACACTTGCCACTCCTTCTCTTTGACAGCCCTCCCCCTTCTGGAAAAGGATGCGGGTGACAGAGGAGCTGTTGTTGGTATTGGCTCCCACTGCCTAACAACCACAGAGTTTACTTGGAGGGCTAGCGGGAAGCCCAGTTACTTGTATTTCCTGTGCCTAAGGAACAGGGCGCCCATCAGAGTGGGCCGCTTTGGGGAGGATCCACAAGGAGCAGGGAGGGGATAGAGAGGATGCTAGCCCGGGCAGGCCAGTCCTGGCTGGGCCATTAGCAGAATGGCACGCAGTCCAGCCAGGTTGCCCTCATAACTGAGTGTCCACGGAAGAGACCACCAGAATGGGCCTCTTCTGTCGCATATGGATGGATTCTGCATTCTCGCCCTAAGGACAGTTGGGCCTGCTTTATGATACTGAGACGTCATTGACACTGGAAGGACGTGCCCTCTGCAATCCCACCCAAAGACACCCTCCTGAGTGCGTGCCTCAGTGTACCCTGGAGACTCAGTTCTTAATTTCACAGCACCTTTTCTTTCAGGCTGACCAAAATAGGGTTTTGGAAACAAAGCTATTTTGAAGTATTTAAGCACAGAAATATCCTAACACTGACCCCTCTGCCTTTCATTTTAATATTTAGTGCTGTTTATATGCCTAAAGTTTTTTTCCTTGAGATTTAAATGAAAAATGGTTTCTGGTTTGAATCACCAAAAGGTAGAGAGATATGGAAACATAGCTAACATGCATGACTTTGCATTTTATCAAATTACTTTTCTGCAAAATGTGTACAAAGGCCCATGATGTAACTTTCTAATTAAAATGTTCAAACTGGAAGGTTGCATGTGGCTTTTTAGAGGGAGAGTATTTGGAAAAGGGACGGATGGGGAAGGCAGAGGTGTGCACACTTCTCTTCGTTACTCACCAGCTGCCTTGCTTTGCCAGGGCTCTGCCAAAAGACCTTGGAGCTTTTGTTCACTTCTTGGTAGAAGTCTTCTGGCCCAGCCCCCAGTAAATGTGAGTTTTTGGTGGAATCAACATGGCATGTGAAAACCACAGGCTGGAAATTTACAGCTGCATCTGATGAAGATCCAATTATTTACAGATCAGATGTTGGTAGCTTCTGAACCTGAATCACACCAGTATAGTTGCAAGAGGAGAAAAAGGTGAGAAATAAACGGGATTTTATTAGCTGAACTGTAACCCGTAGCTAAGTCAGGGTTTGAGACATTTAATGTTTGGCAAGGAAAATCACTAATTTTGCCAAATGATTATCCAGTTTCTGTTTGAATCAGGTGAGGTCCAGAAACCCCCATTTAGGTCCTATCATCTAAAGTTAATAAAGTCTTCGCCTTTCCTTCTCTTCATGTTCACGCTTTTTAAAAGAAATGTTTCTTTGTGACCACATAAGTTTTAAATGCCTATTGGGGAAAACGTGTAATTACAGAAGACTAAAGAAAATAAGCTGTCTGTAAATCGCTCCCCATAAGTTATCACTGTTGGCATTCTTGATGCTTATCTTTTTAATCTTTCGTTTCTAATTGTTTTGCTATCATAAATAACACTTATGTTAACCTTGCATAGAATCCTTTTTGTTCAAGATAGATCCTAGAAAGAAATTACCAATTCAGAAAGCTTATGACCGTTCTTAAGGATTTTAATTTATTTGGCCAAACCGCATCCTGGAAGGAATGCACTAATTTATACTCCCACCAGCACAGATTTCTTTTAGAACCCAACACGGATTACAAGAGGTCAGAATTTTCTACCTTTTTCAGATGATTGTACTCTGTTATCTGTAGGAGGAGATAACATCTTTATTTATTGAAAAATACCCTGTATTTATTCCAGATCTGCTATCAAGCTGGAGCCTCTGGGTCGAGGCTAGAGCAGCGAGGAGACAGGAGGAGGGGGACAGCCAGTTTCAGGCCTAGAGCCTTAGGGCCACCTGGTGTCCCGGCCCCTCCCAGCTGAGCTACGGAGAGGGGAGGCCGCGCGCTCGCCTGGCACTTGGCTTAGGGCTGAGGCTGGGGGCTTGAGCGGTTTGGATTCCAAGTTATTTCACTATGAGGATGCCACCGAGAGCGCGGAGGGGCAAAATTAATTCGATTTCCTTCACAAGTGCCTTTTGTGTTGTCAGTAGCCTCCTTTCTCTAGGGATTGGAGGGGGAGACACTTTTTTGGTCAATTAGTGGGATGAGAGGTGATTCTGCGAGCGCCCTTTGACATCCTTGGCCGAACCGTACGTCTGCGGCAGCCCCCGGCCCACCTGTGCCCTCCTTCCCCGGGCCCGCCCCTGGACGGCCGCCC